TCTTCTTAAAAGTCAGCGAGGGTGCCACAGGGAAACTGCCAGCCGAGCGCCATGCGTCACAAGGACTGCGTGGCTGGCCGGTTAGTAGAGTGGTTAGGTAAGTTCCACATCTTCACTGTATTGTCTGTGGCCACTTATGTGCTCAACGTACAGGCCTCTTGACCATCTGATTACTTCACTTACAATTTATTGTTTTAGGCGCCGCCGCTTCGAGGGGCAGATGCCAAGAAGGTTGACAGCACGTTCATTTTTAGGATCCCATGATCCAAGTGACCCGACGACGACAGCATCGCAGGTGGCTATGTAACCAGACGCCCGCAGCTCTTCACAGATGGGTTCGTATTTGAGACATTTCTTCTCTCTTTTCTTGTTGAGAGCGAGTGACCTGTTCTCGAAAGGGCATGCTATGTCAATAATAGTGGCTTGTTTTTTCTGTTCATCTAGGAGAACGAGATCAGGAAGAAGGCGAGTGGCGCTACCAGGCACCGCTTTCTCAATGCGAAGTTGTTGTTTGGTGCTGTCGTCCATGGCCTCAACCAGGTTCTTGATCACGCTGCTATGGCGGTTTTTCCAAGTTTTTGGATGGTGCATGTTGCTTGAGCCCAGGCAGTTGTTGAGTACGTGCAGCGTGGTCTCGAGCCCGTGGTCGCGCCGTCTACAAGAGCGGTTGCGGTCAGGTATCCTCAGTGCGGCGTTGAGTGGCAGGACACCCAGCCTAGCGCGGAAGATGAAGCGCCAGTCACAGAAACGAGTTCGGTTGCCAGAGTAGATAAAGTGGCTGGAACTTGGGTCCCTGGCTACGCACTCAAACACCCTGCCTTGGTCAGGTCACAGTGAGATTTATAAGATGCTTGTGTTGCAGACCTTCACGGATACGGCGATATAACTGGTCTCTGGAGCTGGAGTCCACGAGGAATGTGTCAGGGGTTCTTCCCGGCACCGGCACACGAATAGAAAAGAGTTCAAGCGCTTAGCCCCATTCCCACTTGAAACCGGGAATTTTTGAGTTCATGCGGCGCGCCGCATTTCTTGCTGCACTCCAGATGGTGGCAAAGGAGTTTTGAGCCGAGTCTGTCACATCCCCTGACAGGTAGGCTGCCAGCCGCTGCTTACTTGGGTTGTTGACCACTCTGGAGGCCGAGCGCATCAGGCTGGCTTCCGCGATCCCACGGACAAGAGGGTCTGGGCTGGTCAGGACTTTGAAGGCTTTTGCGACGGCCCCTACATCCGCAAGCTCGGAGAGAGGCATGATGTTTGCCCCACCCTTCTGTGTTGGTAGGTAGATTATCTCGTTTGAAGCACGAGCAGGTAAGTGCAGGGCCTTTTTCACAAAGCGTTTAATTTCTTGATCTAATTGCGTGAAGCATGTCTTCTTAATACGGGATGTTTGCAGGACAAAAGTTGCTTGAGGCAGGATAAAAGTTCTGACAGCATCAAGTTTTTGCCAGTCTGTAAGTAGTGAATTTTCTACATGGCTGAGGTCTTTGAGCATTTGTTCAATGGTAGCTTCAGTAGTTTGGTCAACGTACAACCCTGTAGGCACGCCGAGATGTTGGTAAGCTTCTTCCTGGTTAAGTGAAGGGATAGACTGAACCTGGACCGTGGTGTTAACCATGTTTGCTCTTTTCTTGCAGATACAGAGTGTGGCGCACTTCTTGGCATTGAAATGGAGCCCGACCCATGTGGCGACTCCACCAACGACGTCAAGCATGCACTGGATGGCCTGACGGTTTTTACCAAGTAAGACAATGTCGTCAGCGAAAGCAAGGCAGGAGAGTGTCTTGTCATGCAGCTGGAAACCATACAGTGGGGCAATAGCCAGTACACTTCGAAGAATAACCTCAATGAATAGATTAAATATAATTGGGCTCAGAGGATCACCTTGTTTGACACCCGAAGCCATGGGGATTGCTCTTGTCTCGCCCGAAGATGTGACGATGGTGGTTGAGCTATTGGAGTATGCTTCTCTACAATGTCCACGAAGTCTTGGTGGACCCCGTGTTGCCGAAGAAGAGCTAGGATGGCAGAATGTGGGACCGACCCGAAGGCGTTCTTGAGATGAAGCCATGACACGCAGAGCTCTGAACCGGATTCCCTGGCATAGTCGAGACACTGCTGAAGAAGGAAGTTATGCTCTAAGCACCCCTCTGCTGGAACAAACCCCTTCTGGATGGAAGAAAGGGTCCGAAAAGCCCAAGTGGAGAGGCGGTCTGCGAGGACGGCAGTGTAGAACTTGTATAAGCAAGAGGAGAATGCAATAGGTCGCCAGTTACTAAGGTCAGTCATTTCACCCTTCTTGTAGATTAAGACAGTTTTGGCAGTCTTCTAAGAGGCTGGAATTCTCTTAAAAGACATGCAGATCTTGAAGACTTCCGCGAGGATGTGGTAGCCAGAGTCCTTGCGTTTGAGGGAGGCATAGGGGACCCCTTCCGGGCCCGGTGCTGTGTTAGCGCAGCGCCGCAGTCTGTCCATGATGTTTTCTCTGGTGATGGGGACCACAAGACGCACGTCTTCAGGTAAAGTGGGTGACAGCACTGCAGACACTGGAGGGTCCTCAAGATGTGGTAGCCTGGCTGCAAACACCCGCTCGAAAAAAGACTCAACTCCTCAGGCGGAAGACTGCATAGTGGGGAGTCCTCCTCCCGTACCTCACGCATGGCTCTCTTTTTGTTCACTTTATACAGGAATTGTAGACGGCGAGCAGCATTCTGCGGTCTACGCCCCCCACCCCGGCCCCGCCCCTGGTGACCACGGTTCTTGGCAGGTGGTAGCAGATCTGAGGTGAGCCCTTCTACAGCAAGTTCAAACGCAGCCCAGTCCTCTGCTTCCTGTAGCTTGCGTATCCAACGCCGTTGGAATGCGCTGGCACGAGGCCCCCGTGGTGAGCCAGATTGGGATGGAGCAGGTGAAACAATACAAGCAAACAGGTCCTTAGGGCTAGAAATGGGCGGAGACCTTACCGGGGCGGTGGGCAGTGGTGGCGTGGCGGGTGAGGCTCGTCAGGCTGACGAGGCTGACGAGGCTGACGAGGCTGACGAGGCTGACGAGGCTGACGAGGCTGACGAGGCTGATATCGGCGGCGTGAGGACGCGCCGAGGCTCCCGGACCGCGAAGTTGGACTGCAGCCTGGGTGTGAGATGTGGTGATGCGGATGGCCCCGGAGCAGCGGTAGTTCCTGTGGAGTGAGAGGAGGGCAGTGAACTGTCCTTGACACTCGAGAGGTTGGAAAAAACAGGAGCTACTTGCCTGGGGGCAGCATCCGCGCTGTGTATCATGGCCAAACCCGGGGCGTGTAGGGCCGTGTCTCCGCCCGAGGGCATCGTAGACAGGACCCTTACCCCGAGAGCCTCTGCGACCGCACCCGGGTCGTGGCAAGCCATCGGATCCCAGGGCGACGACGGGGTGGTGGTGGCGGGGCGGCTCGGCTCGGCTGCAACCTCCTCCCATAGGCGGCCTCGTGGTGTTGTGGCCGTTAAGATGGCGGCGGCGGCCACAATCTGCGGAGGGGAGCGTGGAGCTGCTAGGCGCTGCGGCGTTGTGCGCCACAGAGCTGGTGGCACACGTCCACGGCAGACCCGGCCAGCATGAAGCAGACGCGAGCCCACGGCAGCGGCGGAGCCAGGCGTGCGGAGCAGCGGCCCTCTGGGTGGAGATGGTGAGGAGGAACCTGCCAAGGGCGAAGCACAAGGGGCAGAGCCTTGTTTGCTGGTGGATGGCAATGGAATTATAGGATCTACTTGCCCTGGCAGAGGTCCCGCGCTGTTGAGATAGGCCATGACGGCGTCCAGGGCCGCGCCTCGGCCCGAAGGCTTCTTTGACGGGGCCCTTACCCCGTCGGCCGCTGCGACCGCACCCGGGGATTGCTTTTGGAGCGCCCCCCAGGGCGACGACTGCGAGGATGGTGGCAGCGGACTGGGCGCCTGCAGGACAGTGGCAGGCAACCCGCAGGGCACGGCCGGCAGGAGAGCGGCTGCACCTGGCGGAGAAGCCGGAGGTGGAGAGCCTTGCGCCTGCAAGCCGCCGATAGGCAACCCACCTGGCGCAGCTATCTGGATGGTTGCCAGCCTGGGGAGCGGCAGCGATGACGTCTGCGAGCGACCAGGAAGCCAGAGTAACGGCGAGGTCAGGATCCTCATGGCGCAGCCCGTGCTCCGACCTGAGGTGGCCGGTGGACTTCTTTGCGTCGGCAACCCGGAAGTCTGGACAAAGGCGGCACACGAAGAGCGCGTCGGCCGGCGCGTGGACCCTCTTGACATGGCACTTGAGCACGGGGATGGAGCTGACGCTCGGACAGCTTAGTGTAGGGCAGCGCACGAGGCGTCCCGTGGGCACTTGGATGTAGAGGTTCGCCATCGCGACATGACAAACTCAGCGTCCGCGACGGAGCACCAGCGTTGGTAGCGGTAGCGTGATTGTTAGCGCGCGCGGCTTGCAACTGCCGGGCGCGGGATCGAGTCCCACCCGGGGTGAGAAGTTTTAGGTTTGAATTCGCGCCCGGAAGTGACGTCACGGCCGCCCTCTCGAGAATGGTTCGAGAAGGAAAACAAAACACAGTGCCGGACGTAAACAAAGCAGTAGACAAAAGCACATGGCAAGCACATGGGCGAGCAACGGGAAAGTATGTCAACTTCGCCGTGTAGAAAAGCCCAGATAACACAGTTCCAAAGTGGCGAGCAGCAAACGTCGATTAAAGTTCATAAATGTACAGTTCATATTGCGGACAGCTTGGGGACGCTCTTGACGTTACGCGGAGGTTAGGCCGTACACAACGGCAGCACAAAGGGCACAGTACCTTTCAAGATTCACAGACGTAGAGATGTGCGTAGAGATGGTAGGGGCACAACACAGATGCAATAGGGTTCCCTCACTCAAACAAGTTCACAATCACACGCACATAGATCATAAATTATTTAGGCCCGGTAACAGCTCCGGGCGCTCCGCGCAACACGTTGGTCCGCTCCGACGGTGCTCTAACGAAATACCCTGTTTACACACAGTACTCAGATTGTAGTAGCACTTGACACCTGTGCCTTTTTGAGGAGCATGAGCTCAGACATGTCGGGCTTTATTCTCGAGCTAGCCATAACGCGCAATTGTTGGCACAGATGATCATGAGACATTGTCGAACGGTAAACTTTTTTGCATAATTTCATTAATGAAAATATTTGTTCACACCTGTACGTCGACCCGAATTTCGCCAAACCATTTGCAAAATTTGGCCTCAGATTAGGGAAGCGCTCTTTCGTGATCAATTTAACAAAGTCTATCATGGGCATGGAATTGAATCGATCTTTTAGAAGAGCATCCTTTTGAAGCTCCAACAGTTCAACTTGTAATTCATGGGGTGCTTCAGATACAGGGAACAGGAAGGGGGAGCAGAACAGGTGCAGCTCGTTTTCTAATGTATCCAGCTCTGAAAAACTAGATGAAAATTCCTCATGCAACTTTCCCAATGACATGACCATTATTTTTCGCAGACGAGCACTGGCCGGTTGCTGTAGGGATTTGACACACTCAAAAAAGAACATGTCGCCTTTGGAAACCTGGTCTTTCCATAGCAAAACAGATTCTTTGAAGACATCCAGATGGCGCTTCAAATCGCTAATGAGGTTGTCCTTTCCCTGCGTTTTGGTATTGAGACTATTTAGGTGTCCACAAATGTCCACGAAATAAGCCAGATCTTCGATCCACTTTGGGTCGTCAAGTTCTCGAACGAGATTCTTTGCTTGCTTCATGAAAGTTTAAATCTCTTCGCGAAGAAGAAAAAATCTGCAATAATATGAATTTATTTGTTATCCACCGGCGCATCCCCCCTTACCTCAAGCGAAAAAGTCTGGTCAAAAAACGTACCTAAGTAGAACCTTTCCCCTGCTAAGCCAGCGCACCTTGGTGTAATATGGGACAGTGATGAAATCACTCCCAATATCCTTCAGCAGAGTCTGAAATTTTCGGTGTTGGAGAGCATTAGTCCGAATGAAATTGACTGTCTTCACAACCACATCCATGACATGTGGAAAATCCACGACTCTGGCGGCTAGATTTTCCTGGTGAATCAAGCAGTGAATGGCCACAAAGTCGTGTGGCAAATTTAAAGACTTTTTCACTTGCCGAATCCTGGCAATACGTCCATCTTTTTTGTCTCCACACATCGATGGAGCCCCATCAGTGGCCACGGATTCCATTCTAAAAGAAAAATAAAATAAATCAAACACGCACTGTTAAAAAAATCGATTGTAATTTTACAAATTTTGTTGGCAACTTTTTACGCAATTCAATGTTTGTAAAATTACAAACTAAAACACTTGTAAAAAAAATTGCAAACGTGTTTTGAAATTTCACAATATGCGATCTGAAAATTAAAAACTTTAATGTGAATTTTCAACACATCAAGGTTAATAAGTTAAATAATTTGCCATGGACATGGTGTAGGTAATCCTCACATGGTGTAGGGATCAACTTGTTGGGTTGAAGAAGTGTCAGCTACCTCTGAGGGTAAAGTCACAGTAAAACTACGGGGGCGCTTCACAGGCGCCCCCTAATGAATGGATGCGAACGGCGCCGTACCTAACTAAGGAGAGGTAGCGGGGACCGGCGCGCGCTGGAATTAGACCAATTATTTGGGGCACTTGGTTGACTTTTTGCTCAGAAACAAATGTGTAGCCAGCTACAGCATTGTGTTACAGATCATACCGCACAAAAATACATGTCAGTTTCTTGTGCAAATTTTAGTTAAATACTAACGTAGGGCCCCGTGCGTTAACATTATGCACGGGGTAGCTGAGCGAAGTGCATTAATATAACAGAAGACGTAACAAATATAGTACAAAACTATAATGAATGAGGGTCCGCCTAGTAGGTAGGCAACCGATTCTGCTCCTTGAACGTGAGAGATGGGAGGAGGGACCAGCCGGACCTTAAACCGCGCCCTGGTCTGGTTGGGTCACTGTATTCAACTAGAGTTCAAATCCCTTGCACCTCACTCTCTACAACAGGTACTTTTAGTGAGTAGTGAACTTGATTAATTACTATGCAATATAATAGATTTGGAAGTCCTCTAGAAAAGCTTGATACTGGGAAGTCTGGTTTCTATTCATCAAAATACATGGTTGATTTGTTTTGGTAAACACACAAATGTAACAGTGGCTGGATAAAGAGGGGGGGGGGCTTAAATTTATGCGTTCCTGAAGTTCACATACAGAACATGTCTGCTACTGTCCCTTCCTATCCCCACTGCCCCTGCCCTCCCCCTACTCAATTTACCCTTTTCTGTAATGCCACATGATGCTTGATGCTCCCATTTCATTCAATTCATTTTATTTGTGAAAGGTGAAATTCTATTGGGTTGCCTCTGGTTGAAGTGAAATAAAATACCCTAATATT